CTCTGTTTAAACAATTACAAAAATATAACTTAAAATTAGAAAATAATTACGTCAACTTTACTTTCCTAACTTTTAAGGAAGCAAAATTATCAATTATTTTTTCCAAATTTAACAGTTGCGTTATTTCGTATTCAATTGCAAGTATACTTAAATTGCTTAATCTTTCTTGGCCCATTGCAGATCTTAAGTAATTTTTGACCAATTTAAGTTTGCTGAAGGATCTTTCTGCTGATGCGGAGGTGACTGGGATAGTTAAGTAAATCCTATATGCTGTCTCCATATTTTTGTAATTAGGTATCAAGTCAAAATCATGAATTAATTGAAGGATTTCTAAGTGGTCCATTTCTTTAAAATTTTCGTTTAAAGGCGGAAACAATTTTTTCGCACTCAGTACTTCACTCAAAAACTCCGGCCCGTTCAAGTCAGCAGCATATTTATCAACCAGATCCATACAAAATTTGCTCAAAATATTTTCGTCCATTGATACTATATTTGAGCCAGAAAGAAATTCAAAATCTTCAGATACCTTCCGAAGTTTCTCAAATCTCCAGTTAAGTTGCTCGATTATTGTATCAATAGCTTCCAAGTAAGCAACACGAAATTTTTCATTCAAATTGGCACTTTCATCAGAAGCTTCATAATCAAATTGTTTTTTTGTTTTTCTTTTCCGACTCTCCTTAAATACAGGATCTATATCTAATGACTTGGCCAAATCTATACTTTCCTGTAGAAAGTTTGGAAACTTCTCATTTCTTATTGTGTTTATAATATTTTTCAGACTTTCAATAAGTTTGCTAGCGATCGAAACTGTAATAGTTTTTTTCTGTAGAAGAACATTTACATTATCAATTTGCTCCAAGATGTTATTCCACACTACCAAACTGCAGATAAAGTGAAAATTTTTTATCTGTTTTAAAAAGTTTTTTGCTCCTGAGTATGTTTCCTCATTTTTTCTAAATTGCGTAAGGTCTTCCAAAGCTTTAAAAATATTTGGCAACTCTTTGTACACTGCAGAAATAGCTTGCTTTTTCAATGACCATCGACTATCACAATGTTTCTTCAAAGAAACCGTTACATGTGACATAAGAATGTCCCATCTGTCAGGAGAAGATGAGAAAAAGACAAATAAACTTTGGACAATACCAAAAAATGTCATCATTTCTGGTGATACGCTAGCAGCGTGAACTCCAACTAGATTTAATGAATGTGATGAACATGGTATAAAATAAGCTAATTTGTTGACTTCGATAATGCGAGCCTGCACTCCTTTGTATTTCCCCGCCATGTTCGCACCATTATCGTAACACTGAGCTCTACAATTCTGGATATCTAAGTTATCAGCCTGCAATTTGTTTAAAATATCTTGTGCCAGTCCTTCACCCGTTTTTTGTTTGGTTTCTATAAAATCGACAAACCTTTCTTCAATTGAACACTTTTCGTTTTGTGTTACCTTAACATATCGTATGATCTGAGTCATTTGCTCTTTGTGAGCTGTATCTGGAGTACAGTCAAAGGAAATAGAAAAGTACTTCTCTTTATGAATTTCGCTAATAATGATTTTTTTTACTTCGTGGGCAAGTAGGCTTATCACTTCATTCTGTATAATATTTGAAAAGTAAGAG